CAGTCTCTATCCTGAACTATCATAATTATCCAACAAAGTCAGCCATTGCATTTTCTGCTGCTGTTGTTACTATTATTAGAATCAATAGAATAAAACTTGTGTGACATTGGAGAAAATGAGAGCTTGGGAGCTCTAAGCCTGCCACTAAGTAGCTATGTGATCTCGGACAAATATCGGAATCCTTTAAAGTTTGTCTGTTTATGTCTGTCTTATGTTTATACAAAGTACAACTTTTATTTTACTGCACAGTGCTATGGTAGAACTAAGTAAATGATTAAAAACATTAGAAATTATAAAGCATACACATATACCACTGCTTTTAATCCTTGTTTATAAGAAAGCTATATAATTCAACTACACATGAAATTAAATATACAGCACAACTATCTTAATGTTGAATAAGAGTAGGAAATGGCATAGATATTTAGAGGATAGCAATACTGAATTTCTCTGTGATGCCAACTAAGAAAGGCTTCTGAGAGAACAAAGCACCTGAGGATGTCACAGGCTAAGAGGACGAAGCAGTGCCATGTACCAAAAACAACACAGACAAGGGCTGAGGGAGCAGGTGGCCATGTGAATCTTGACAAGGTAAAATTAAAAATCATCAAACACACTAAAAAGCTAAAGACTAAGCTAAGCTATGGCAGGCAGCTATTATTTGGTAAAACATAGCAAAAATTTGGCTTAAAATGAAAAAAAAAATCACAAGTGGTTTTATCAGATTGTTCAGGTAGAGTGGCTGTGAATAATTAATTGTACCTCATTAAGCATAGGCCAAATGCTGATGATTTGCTGTGAAGTCTTGCCTAATACCAAAACCAAATGACACTGCATAGCTGACTGTGTAGCTGGTTATGTAGCTGATTAAACTGATTTCTAAAACAAAACAGGCAAGAATTTAAAATAATGCTTATGCAAAGGTAGCCAAGCATTTTAGATGGTATTAGAAAAATATGCTTCATCAAACATCTAGCAAAATGCAACTGCTCTCAAAACTCAAGCATGCTGGGGATTGGTCTGGTGCTGTGTATACAAGTGATAAATCCTGTACCCAAGATCTGGTTGCCACAGGAAAGAGAATTCTCACATATATCAGCCTTTGTTGTGTAAACCTTGCTCCCCAATTTAAAGTTAATTGGTTAATAAAAGGTTAGAGTCTGTGACTGGGCAGTAAAGAGAGAAAGGCAAGACTTGAGGATAGGTGAGGGGTCTCAAGAGAAACCAGGGAAAGAAGGAGAAAGGAGACAGAGAAGAAGAGGCTGCCATGAGAGGACATGGACCATGAGCACATGGCTAGGAGAAATGGACCCTGAGGACAAGCTGAAGGAAGAAAAAGAACCTGGGCGAGGCTCAATCTGTAAGTAACAAGGGATACACAGCTGGGATATAAGTTAGAACAGCTTATGAATGACCTGCCCAATCTAGGCTTACAGCTTGTAAATAACAAGCTAGCTAAAATATATACTTTATTTTATACAAGCATTCTTATCTCAAAACATTTATTCATAGGGACTTTGTAATTAAATAGAAATGACATACCTACAGGATGATTCAGTAACTCAATTTCTACAAATATTTGTGCTTCAAATGGATGATTGTTCAAAAAAAAAAAAAGAGGAGGTTCCAAGAAGTTTGCTCTTTGTATTTGTAGAGCTGGGGACTCCCCTTACCACCTCCAAAGGCATCATTAGTTAAGAAATGAACAGAGCACTCTTTTTGTTAAACAAAATGTCATGCTAACATAATAATATAAAAATGAAGACTCCTGATTACCAGGGGACGTTGCAATGCTGTCATTACAGGGGAGGAGACTGTGCAGAGCCCTACATCTGCAGCAGAGGCTCCTAAGTGACCAAGCGTGTAAGTCCAGGGCACCTGTCCCATTTGGTCCAAGGGTGGCAGTTCTGCATTTACTAGAAAGACTGCTCCAGCATAAAATCCTACACTGAAAATAGAAACTTACAGACGTATTTTGTCTAAGTAGAATGTAAGCCACTTTATTCTCATTTAATTTGGCAAGTGTTGTACATGGGCCTGTTTTCAACTTCCTAACATATATGTGGAATTCTCTCTAATGCTGTAGATACTTAGGCAAGATGGAATGGTATACAAGGGGGAAAGGTAGGATTGGATTTAATAAAGGTAAAAATTCTCGAGATACCTCAAAATCAACACTCATTTCCCTTGCTTAAGACTTGTGGTTGGTACCCCAAAAATCTCCTAAAATACTTCTAGTTACAATAAAGCTTAAACTTCTCATGGAACCCAGCCAGCACTCCTCTGTAAACAGAAGGCCGGGCAGCTTCTAACTACAACCACATCATATAAAGAGTACTGTGTATATTTACATTTGTGCCAATTCACTGATGACTTCGGTCATATTTAATCCCTGAAGCTTCACTTCACTCTTTTTGTTTCCTGAGTTGTCATCAATGTTTTAGAAAGAGAGAAGGAGGAGATGGATCACTGCTACCGTGGTGAAATTGGTGTTTTCTCTGATCTCTTCAGTGAAACAGCAGCTAAACCACTACAGGGAGATAAGAGTCCACAGCCTGCCACCTACACCTCGTTCGCCTGCCTTTTCTCATGGCGATGCTTCACAAGGCGGAGATGAGTGCAAGTGAGCAGGAATCCAAAACATTGGGAAGTATGAAAACCACTCATCAGCAAAGCTGGGTGTTAGTGTTCAAAGTACTGAAGAAGGGCCTACTTACCGTAACTGGGAAAGTACACCATCCTGAATAAAGAGCTGAGAAAGGGAGCAAGTCAGCCTCGTCCTGCACTTGCTAAGAGCCCTCCGGGTCTCTGTGCTCCTTACACCCTCAGGAGCAGGTAGACAAAGGCTAACCAGCATCTTACCCGTTCCACACACAGACTGAAAATACGTTTGAATGGAGCTCAGTTGGCTCAAGTGTCTATCCTGCTCCACTTGGGTTGTTAGCCGGCCACGTTAGTGCAACTCCCACCTTCTGATGGGTAAACCAAGCATAAGATGTCACTCTTCAGAGCTAAATGCGAGCTAACGATTGCTCAGGTCACAAAAATCACCCAGCTCTGGTCATAGGGCTCTTGTCTCAGATTCTGAGCTATCTCAGGCAAATGGGCACTGAGTCATATGCTCAGCTAGGTTCCTACTGATCCAGCAGGGGTACATTTATAGAAGAGTTCAGTCCACTGACTCTCAGTAAACAGAAGTAGGTAGGGCATTCCAGATGGGGAAAAACAACCATGAATTATATATTTTATGTTTAATTCTTGTTTAGAAAAAAATGAACCAAGAAAATACAAAAATGCTTTTAAGCTTCCCCAGGAAGCATGTATCTTATTTTTAGCAGGCACTAAGCATGGCGTGGAGTACTTCCTATCACAAGTTATCTTTAGCTCAGTGGAGTGCATACTGTTTACGTTGCCAGGTTAGACCTCAGGAAGCTGAGCTGTTTGCCAGAGTCCACTCATGTGGGAGCTGCTCGACCTTCCACCACTCAACTCGAGAGCTATGCCTTCACAGACCCACTCAGTTAGTGGGCTCATTGGGGAAAGCGCTTGCTGAGTACGCCTGGTGACCCGAGCTTCCTGGAGCATGTGGGGCAGTCTGAGGCAGAAACTGTACACATCTGTAAGGCAAGCACTCCTACAGTGAGGAGGCGGCAGAGCATCACCCAGAAGCTTTTGGGCAGCCAGCCTGGAGTCTGAAGAGAAACCCTGCCTCAAAAACAAGGTAAAAGAGACAAAGTTGTCCTCTGATCTCCAAACATGATTGGAGACACAATCATGTACACAATAATAGTAAATAAAATTTAAAATTCTAACTACAGGTTTGAGAAACTACATATTAAAGAATCTATATTTTTATATAAGTACAAAACAAGAAACACACACACACACAGAGGCCAAGCTTATGGTTGCCATTAAGATCAACTTTTAAAAACAAAGTGCTGGCCGGGCAATGGTGGTGCACGCCTTTAATCCCAGCACTTGGGAGGCAGAGGCAGGCGGATTTCTGAGTTTGAGGCCAGCCTGGTCTACAGAGTGAGTTCCAGGACAGCCAGGGCTCCATAGAGAAACCCTGTCTTGAAAAACCAAAAAAACAAACAAACAAACAAAAAACCAAAAAACAAAAAACAAAAAAAACCAAAGTGCTGGTCACTTTAGGTCTGATAATTCAGTACCAGAATGTTCTAAATACTGAGTGTCTATCCATCCCTTACACAAGAACATACAGAATAACATTTCTACAATGTAGCAGTAGTGTGTTAGGAACCCAGGACAGAAATAGACAAGAGAAACACTGTTCTTGTGGAACATACAGATTGGGAGGTGGTCACTATATGGGAAAAATGGCTCCATGAAACTAGTTTAAAACAAGAGTAGAGGAGAAGAGACGCAAGGGAAGCGGGAACCTCCCAGGAGCTGGGGAGAGAGACTCCAGGTAGAAGGACAGGTGCGCAAAGGCCAAAGGGACAAGAAACTGTAAGGAAGGTTAGGGTGGTTCAGGATAAGAAAGACACACGAAAGCCTGGACTGCAGGGACGGGCAAAGCTGGTAACCTTCACTATTGTGTGGCATCCTGAGGATGTGGGCTCTGGCTAAGCAGTGAGGAGCTGACTACAGCAAACACATGTGGAAACACTTAGGTTGTGCAGGTTGTGCACTGACCGACTCAGCTGACAGTGGATCTCAGCATGCGCAGGAGAGGCAACTCCAGCCCAAAAGCTTCCTGCACTCCAGGTGGAGGTGACAGAGCCTGACAAGGGCAGCAGAAGAAGGGCATGGAGGTGCAAACATTCATGAGGTAAATGGACAGTGCGACAGGAGCTGGGGGAACACCTTGAATCTTGGTACAGATTCCTGTTTTGATGGTAAAGAGTTTTATGCTAAAAATTTAAATATATCATTTTATTAGGAAGAGGAAGAATTTCCAAATTCTTATTCCCAAAAGAAGAAACTTACTGTACTACCATTCACTCCCCTGTGCTTGGCTCCCAGCCAAAACTCACCTGGTTCCCAACCAATAGTAAGTGTTCTCCAAGGACAAAGTCTTTAAGCATGTCTTCCATCACTATCATGTGCTAGACAAAAAGATACAATCAGATAAAGTTAGCTATATGGATGTTATCTAGGAGTACAGAACACATATTTAATAAAATAACTGACTTGAATTAAATACATTTTTATTAATAGTTGTTTGAGACAAGGTCTTTTTATATAACTCTGGCTATTCTGAAAACTCTATGTAGTCCAGGCGAGGCTCAAACTCAGAGATTCACATGCCTCTGCCTACCTAGTACTGGGATTAAAGGTGTATGCACTACCACACCTGGCTGTAGATAAAAACATGTTTAATGATGTGGATATAAGTATATTCAGTAATCAATTATATCATCAATATTGAAAATTTCAAATAGCTCATCTGAGCAAGAACAAACTACTGACCAATATTTCAACAAATTTCTATAATTCAACTCAAATATTTGTATTTAAACTCTATAGACTTGGCTTTAATTTAATGTAACATTTAAATTGACAATTGCTAGTATAAGGAAACAAAGGCTACCAAAAGCAACCAAATGTCTCCAGTTTGAACTTTTTTTTTTTAAAAAAAATTGTGTGTGTGTGTGTGTATGTGTGAAGAGAAGGCACGGGAAACAGAAACATACTCATTCACACACAGAGCTTAACCATTTACCTTCACAGCTATGTAGAGTCTTAGAATTAAAAAGCATTCTTTACCTTCCATTTCTTTTCATTTGAATTATGATACAACATAATAAAAAAGGTGAAATTCTGGTTGCAGCAGCCACAGAGGAGGCTGCGTTCTCTTTGTAGACTGAGAAATAGGACACCTGTGAGTAGGTTACAAAGGCTCATGGGACTGAAGGAAGAGCTGTGTATCAGCACAGTCTGAACCCCGAGTCCCTCTTTTAGGTTTCTGGATCAAAACAACAGCAGCCCCAAAGTGCTCAAGGTACTCACGTTCTAGTTTTGAAAAAGGCCAATTAACCTTTTATTATGCAGACACACTACAGATACTTTCCAGAATTTTACTTGCTTGCTTTTCTTGAACTGATTTTTTTTTAACTGCCAAGTTCTGCAGTATTTTCATTCCCTTAGAAATAAAAATTTACAAAGTTATTTTTTTTCCTTCCTTTAAGAATACTGAATATGTTGGTATTTCTTAGTTTTCTTAAGTGAGAAACAACGGGGAAGTAAAGTTTTAACAAGGTTTAAAGTAAAGTGACTATATTTATTTACTGTCTTTCTGGAACACTAAAAAATAAATAAAAAGCACTGGGTTGGCAGTCTAAAGAATACCCTGATAGCATACAGATACGACTGTCTTCTAGACCAGCGTTTCTCAGTCTGCAGGTTCCAATCCCTTTGGGGATTAACAGATCCTTTCACACGGTCACAAAGAAGATATTTACATTATGATTCACAACAGTAGCAAAATTACAGTTATAAAGTAGCCATGAAAATAATTTTATGGTTGGGGGTGACCAGGACATGAGGAACTGTATTAAGGGTGGCAGCATTAGGAAGTTTGGGAAGCACTGCACTAGAAGGAGGATCTAGGACATCACTTACACTGGGACTTGCTGCTAAGATATTCTCAAGACTGCTGCCTTTTAACTAAGTGAGAACTTGGTGGTAAATGAAGACCCTAGTACTTCCTGAAACTAATGAGCCAAGCAACTGGAGGAACATGGACAAAGACATCCCCGCACGGACCTGCACAGGTGACACTGCAGCCCCTGGGCTCTGTCTGCACTCTGCTCTCATATCCTTCTACCACACACCCACATGACACCTGCCCGGCTGACTGAAACCAATGAGCACCAGCTGAGGCTAAGGTCACTGCCCACATGAGTCTCTCGATCGCCCTTGCATGCAGGCAGGTTCCCTCTTGTCCCCATCCTGCAGCTCTGTCCTTTGCTCTGTCTTTCTGGCTGCTTTCCTTTGGATGCCCAGGAGATGACAGAGTGGATTGTGCCTACATGGAACAGGGCCCCGTCTGAGGACCAGGTAAGGGAAGTGAGCAGAGCTGCAGGCTGTGGTCAAAGAGCACTGGGCTTCTCCCTCGCCCTGCAATCCTTCCAAACTGAAGACAGGTTTTATTTTGTGAGCTTTCCTTATGTTATTGTATAAATAAAAGAATTTCCAGGGCAGGTGAGTCAGCTCAGCAGGTAATGGCTCTCTCCTGTAAGCCTAAGGACCCAAGTCCAGTCCTCAGGACCCACATGGTGGAAGGAGAGACCTGACTCCCACAAGTTGTTTTTTCTTCCATGTCTGCATGACATGTGTGTGACCACATATATACATCAACTCACAAAATGCAAAAACAAAACAAAACTCCAGAGTTTTCAGCTGTAGGGGATTATAACACGACTTAGGTGTCTGCAGGCTTCTTAGTAATGACTGTTAGTCCCCAGTTTCTGAAACTCAACCAAAACCCAACCCCTTGCTTCATCTTCAGCTCTCGTCTTCCTCACATACCCCCAGCCCACTAACAAGGATCCTTTTCTTTCTCCTGATGGCGCTGACATCACCATGGCCACTCTGCCCATCTTGCTCCTCTCTTAATGGGATCTCGTTAAAAACCAATCTTAGTGACTAAGACACACACAGTATATTCTTTCTTTTCTATTGCCACAGCTGGGATTAGGGCATTTACAACCTCCGGCCTAGATTTCACTGGCCTCTGAATCTCCCATTTCTCTCAGGGCAAATGTGTTCTCCACACTACAACTGTGGCTGCTTCTTTGTTCAGAGGCTTGCCAGTCATTTTTCAAAGTTCCCAAGATGACTCTTAATGCTTTGGGAACTTTTTCCTGTTCCTGTGCTGGACCAGCCTCTGCTTTTACCCGCCACATACACACTATCTACCCCTTCCAGTGTGGGCACCATCAGGAATGAGCCTCTGTTCACTCTCTGTCACCAGATGATGTGCCTCCTGAGAGTCTGAAACAAAAGTCCCCATGTGTACCACCTAAGGAATCCTGTAAAGTGTCCACTGCCCTCTCCCTAGTCACACTGCCCAATCTCATTAGGGTCCTTCTTAACTGTGACCTGGACTGTTTCAATAAGCACTGCTCTGATTTCTGACTCCTGGACAACACAGGGAGGTGAAGAGAAAATCAGTGAAAGTGCAAATGTGCTTAAAATCTGTCACTGGTTTCCTTGGCAAGAATCTTAGTTTCTTCCTGAGTGAAGCCTGGACAATACCACCCTTCTTCATGCTGCTGCCTCATTACTTGACACTTTACTGGGAAGCCAAAGCTCTGTGGACTGAATTCGAGGGTATATAGCTTTCTAAGAGACTGTCTCTCTTACATAACCAAGCCCTGCAAATATCCATCTCAGCCTGAATAAATTTTCAACTTTGCCCTGTTAACTAGTTTTCTGAGATCTTTCCAGTCAGTGACCATCAGTCACCTCTTTGGTGTTACCAGAGTAGCCTGAGTGTACCTTCATCACACTCTGTGTGACTATCAGTCCCCTCCCTCGTGTTGCCGCAGTAACCTGCATGTACCTCCATCACACTCTGTAGTAACCATATGTACTTACCAGCCTGTATTTTCTACTACGTAAAGCGCAATTTGAGTCTGGGGGTGCATCTGCTTGTGTGCAAACATTTTCATCTTTGTAGCCTGATGCCGAGGGCTCCCTAGGGCCAAGTCTGACTTGTGTTTAATTTTTCAGGTCTAAAGCTCCTTAGGCTTATTAAAAAGCTATTAATCTTGTTATTCTACAATTTCTCCAAGTTGCTGCTCCAAGGTTCATATTTCATAATAAAGAATTTAATGAAAGAATACTCCTTAGAATGGATGTTCAAAACTTATTAATGCCTTTTAATCCTCTCAACACTTATTTACCATGTGTTAGAAACTTTGCTATTCAGTGGAGACAGCAGATAAAGGAAAGACAAGGGGTAACATGTTAAAGATCATTGTCAATGTTCAGTGGTAAGAGGACAAGAGGACATCACAGGAAAGATGGACTGGATACACCCTCTGTCTATCAGTGACAAGGAAGGTTCCTGCTTCTGAGATGTTGTGCAGCAAAAGCAAAGGGGCAGTGCGTACTACAGAAGCAAACTGCACTGAGCCAGAGCTGCAGGAACTGAAATCCTCATTAATGGTTGACTCACTACGCTTTGGGGAGGAGGGCTACACGAAGCCCCTTGGGGGCCTTGTGGAAAGTTCACTGAGGACCTGCAGTCCTCAATGTCTGTGTCACCAATACCATGGCAACAGACACTGTTCAAGGACATAATGGTCTTCCTTCCTACTGAACTTCCTATGTTCTTACATGTCATGAAGGCTTTGCAACTTTAACTATTTTGGAGTTTTTCCACTGTTACTTATAACCATTTTACATTTTTTTCTCTTTTTCTCATTTCTGCTATGTGGGTCCAATATGGACAGACAGTACATAGAAATATTATTGTTTATTTTAATCAGGTTTTTGTTTCTATATCATAAGAGCATTTTCCTTCTATCTATATAACAAGAAAAAAATTTACTATAATTTTGCTAATTCCTTAAAAAGAAAGTTCTAACATAATTAGTAAATGTCATTATTTACATGCAGATTAGCAAATAGGAACTACAAAAATAAGCATATTTTTTATAAGAGAAATATATAACTGGAAGAAATAGAAAACATTTTCAGAAATATTTACTAAAAACAAATTTTACAGAAATGAATCTTACAATAATAAAGGTTTCTAAGTTGAAACTTATTTCTGTGTCTTCAGAAACAGTCTACAATTACTGGGAAGGTTTGAAGGCAAAGTCTCTATCAGAGTCCACCCTCCAAAGAAAAAAAGGAAAGCAAAGGGGAACCCTTGGAATATGCAACAAGGAAGAAAGAGGAAGATGGGTGTATAAGATGCTTACCTCCTGTGAGCTACAGGAAAGACTTAAGTAGACAGCAAAATAACAACCAATAGGTCTGTTTGTTTTAATTCAATAGAATACTTTACTAGACTTGAGCACAGTCATACATACGTGTGTACATAACACGCACATATTTAAACCCATAGTAGTAAATTCTCTAATTTTGACCACTGAAAGCAATTTTAAGTCTTCTATCACTGTAATTAAAAATATTTCAGCACTTCATTTTACCTTACCTGAACTGAAATCATGACTACAATTCCACATCAGTGTCATCTGGATCAGAGCTGAGTGCTATGACGTGATTAGCCCAAGATCACAAAGCGATGCTCTCACCTGAACATTGTCGTAGAAGAGGACATCAGGCACTTTCATCTTCTCGCGGGCACCATGCACGGGCACACTGACGGCGCCTATCTTCAGAGACCCGGCCACGACTTCACCTGAACATTTTGTACAGGACAGAACATGAGTCTCAGCAACAGCTTACTAATATCCAGAGAGGCCTAGTCTGGCCAACACACAATGCAAGGCAGCCTCAGTAACCTGATAGGTTTTCAGGATTTAAATTAAGCAAATAAGAAATAAACAAAAAATATTGTGGCTCTCCAGTTTATATTGTAGACCCAATATAAGTCCACAAAGGAGAAGAGCAAGAATGTGGCCGTGAACCAACTTATAGACCTCTCTGCTGAGATAACACACACAGTATAAAGTCCAACAACACTCATTAGAGTTCAGCTTATAGAACATGGCCATTCAGTAGACAGAGGCTTTCAAGATCACTGTGATCACACAATCAATGCTTATATTTGCCATCATAAATGAGGGCAAATATAATTTCAGGAGAACATTAAACATATCTGATAAAAGCCAGAATTGGAGAATATGGCATTGCAGTATAGGCTCAGCCTTTCTATGACCATGACGTGTCATCACCACACTACTTGAAGAGAGACCTGCACGGCCAGCCAAGCCCTCATGAGAAGGTTGTTCAGTGGGCCTGGGCTCTCGACAAGGAGAGGGAATTAAATACATTCTCTGTAAGAGTGGTAGCTTTTAAGATGAATGAAGCCAGTTAAGTGAACAATCTCCTCATTTAGATCCTTTATCCCCTACAGGAAGCTTAGACAGATGCTGCCGGGGCTGACCTTTCCCAGACTGAGCAATCTACCATCCTGATGACACAACCTTTCTCAGATGTTACCAGCTCCAATCAAAGAACATTAAGATTCTACACTTCCAAGGCTAGGTCTCTGTGAGCGGCCTCTGCACATCTGTTCAGACCCATCAATATCAAATTTATAGTTTTAAACAGTCATTAAACTTCCTTAATACTAAATTCTTGTTTCACCATAGCCACAGTTACTAAAGAACTAATCCAAAAGCATCCATTACAGTCCTGTTGGAGAACAGTCACACACGCAATGGTCTGAAAGACAAAGACTTATATTGAGAATAAGAAATTTCCCTGTGTTCTAACTGTAGGACAGGAAACATTTAGAGTATTCGGTCTTCCCCATTTCAAGCTTCTACTTATGGGTAGGCAGAAGAGAGGTAGCTCTGTGGGTGAATGGAGGGACTGGGGAGGGGGTGTCTCTCATTATATTAGTCTACGTCACCCCAGAAAATGTTCCCTGACATGCTTCATAAGGAAATTTGGTAGCCCTCAAATGCAAATGTTGTATGAAGAAAACAGAATTCTAGTCTGTATGGTGAAACACATTTGGAAAGAAAGACATTTTTACTTGTCAAAATTAGATAAGTTAGTTTACAGAGACTTCTAAAACCTTTAGTATGTTAGTGTCAAACTGACTCTTGATACATAGGAAAAGTGGGGGCAGGGGTTTGTCTAATATTCATTGAAAGAAGTGATATAAAAAAAATGGCTTCAGACTAGTCTTTGTTTGTTTGGCTTTGGCTTTTGATTTTGGAGACAGGGTTTCCCTTGTGTAATAGCCCTGGCTGTCTTGGAACTCACTTTGTAGACAAGGTTGGCCTCAAACTCACAGCATGGACCACCATGCCTGACCCCAGACTTTCTCTTAAAGAAATAGATTCACTTGTTCAGTACGGTACAGTACAAAAAAAAAAAAGAATTTAAAAGAGCTTTATTGAAACTAATACTACTAAGTATTTAATCATTATTATGTTACCTTCAACTAGCCAAGTCAAGTACTTACATTTGTAATTCTCCAGCTCTGGTTCCAAGCTATCGTCAGTGTTTATTTCTATTGCAGCATCTGCCAGATTCTTCTCCAGTGCTGAACGAGCAAGGCTTGGTAAGAACCTAGGAAGAGGGATGGAGGACGGTGATGAACTCAATGCTTTCTTCAGTTCTTAAGTATCTTTTAACACACATACCTTCAGTAATTGCAACAAATTAAGGAGAAACTGTGTATAGAGCCCATGTTTATATAATCCTTAATAACTAAGCTTACATGTAATATCAATATTCATTTATATGAACTTTGCAGATTATGACAAAAACGTTTGCTTTCATAAGTAGATTTTTATATACTTCCTATTTCTTGTTTATTGTGTAACTGTATACTGTAGCATATCAAATTTTTCTTAAGTAGATAAAGCAACAACATTCCAGCCTACTCTAAGGTGGCAATCACAAATTTAAATCAGCAAAAGTGGATTAATGTGGTTTTCCTTACTTTTTAAACATAAATTACAGAAAGATTATCCATTTTTCTGTTTCCTTCATTTAATAAATCTTTCTCTACCTATCTTATTGTCAAAGTAACAATCTGTGAGCGACAAGACACTCTTCAACTACAAAGACACCATAAGCACTGTGGCTTGGAACAGTTTTCCTTCCTCACAAGGTTATGTTTAGAATTTATGGTCCTGGTGAACTCACAGGAAGGATCTTTAGTCAGTGATTGCCTAGTCTGTGCTGGTATAAAGCAACCACCATGTCCTGTGTCCCATATAGACAAATGCAGAACACACCATCCAAATGTAGGTTCACATAGTACTAAACCTTGCAGATGCTCCCCCAGGCTGCAGAACAAGCCTTTAATAATAAAAAGGTTGACATAAGCCAGAAGGCATGTGAACGAGAGTGTAAGACACTGGGGTTATGAGTCCCTGTCCCCATAAGACTCTGAGCTAAAGACCTGATACTGTGTCTTACCTACTGCCTCACTTGGGTCCTATAAGATCATGGGGAAGTTTTCATACCACTAGGTTTCTGTCTTATCAGTTCAGAAGTCATTACAGGTCTTAGATCACTGCTTTGCTGTTCAAAACCAATCCCCCACCTTATCTCCCAAACCTATTACGGAGGTTTCCATTCTGTTTCTTGAGCCTCTGACCTAGCATCATGCCCAGCATTTCTCTCATAGTTGGCCCCAGAGCCTAGAAATATTAGGCCCTTCAAGGGCATTTCTACTGTTACCCATTAGATCACCTGAATTGATACTTACTACTTACAAGTTTTGACTTGTCTGCTATTCTTGGCAGCCCTGATCTCCACATTGTCTGTTAATACATCTCAGGCTGGCCCTATATGGGAATACTTCTGGTGTTGTCTAGAGACTAGAGGACAGAAGACTTGGGAAGAGAGAGATTACTCCCAGGTCTAAAGGATGAGGAAGTATACTGCAGTAATGCCAGCAATGGAAGGGCTGAGGTGGAAAGACAGCGGTTGGGGCTAACCAGCTTCACAGGGGCGCCTTGTTGAAAGACTGAGATAACATGCTTCAGCAGGATGATGGGTGTCCAAGAATCCCATTTAGAATGTGTAAGAAATTAATTTATACTTGTGCTTGGAACTGATAATTTACAAATGGTATTAGAAGACAACATAGTATGATCTATCTGATAAATGTAGTTTGTAATCTGTGGTTATTTATTATATGTAAAATCTTTTAATATGGTTTCAAAGCTTCAAGGTGTTTAGGCAGTTCTACAAATGGTATTTAGTGTTTTTTCCAAAGGCCTTAAAATACAATTATTAAGATCTAGTAGACTTACAGTTAATGAACCTAACTAAGAGAAAAGCCCTAAGAAGTTTCAGTGTTTTTAATCACAGCCTTAAAAAATGGAATCAGTTTTTAAGACAAAGCTGTCTCTAGGCAGTCAGTCTCTGTTCTTGGAGACAGTAAAAATTTCATGTTGATAACTGCTAAACACTGGGTGTGAGTGGTTATTAGGCTTATTTTAAAATTAATTATGTAACCATTTACAAAGTGGAAATCTTATACACATACTACTAATTTTATATCATTTGGAGTTTTTTTTTAATGTATGTAATGTAGTTTTTGGTGCCTGGAATAATTTTTTTTTATTACTTCACTTTCCAAGACAGTTAATCTTAATTTCTGATTGGATTCTTAACAGCTGTATCCAATATTTTACCACTAAAGAATCATTTCCTCCAAAATTATTCAGATACTATTCAATGTAATGGAAAATATCAGAGCGGACTAGAACTCTCCATATTTGGGGGGGGGGAGGTGTCTTTCATCCTTCTACAGAAGTGGCAGTTTTAGAATTCAAACTGAGTATATCCCAAGCCTCTAAGTGTTTTCTGTAGCCCTGGGTTCTGAGTATCTAGACACCAAATGATGCAGTTGTATGATACAACCCTGTGGTCATATGCAGTGCAGAGGGTGAAGGCCTACACAGTATTTCAGATGAGAAGCATGAACAAAAGGCAGCCCAGCACTAGGCTGGCTTCTCCTGATTTTATCTGTTTAATAAATACTCCATGGGTATTTTATGAAACTTTTCAATTTTGTCTTAAATTCTCAATGAAATTCAGTTCCTTTCAGTGCTTCAACATAAAAAGGGTTTATTATGAAAGGAAAACCCACTTCATGCACCAACAATCTTCGGTTCCTTCCTGCCTCTGTGTTCCTTTGAGACTGGCGGGCGGGAAGACGCCCCACTGTAGGTTTGCTAAGGGCAACAAGATGGGTGAACAACAAAGGTGCTGGAGTGCTTGCTTCCATTTTCAAAGGGTTTCAGGGTGATAAAAAAACAGACCTTTACTATAATCCTCTGAGAAATACTGATTATCGCATGCAATTATCTATTTAAGAGAGTAAAAAATAAGCATTTAAAAACTCTAAAGTATGTTAACATTGTAGAAAACTTCAGAGAATATTACAAAAAAAATTAAGTGTAGAATGGTAACTGGGTTTTCTTTCACATTCCGCTTGCCTGATCAGTCACAAAGTCAGCATCCTGTCAAGTGTTAACTGCGTATTGGAACCGCTCATTCTCTGCATATATATATATATATATATATATATATATATATATATATATATATATATGCCTAGTCAATCTTTCACCTACCCAGGCCCAGCTCTTTTCCATTCTAATTTGTAGCTTTCTGGGTGCTAGTCATACTTGATTATCAGTTTTGTCAAGCATGCTCCTAGCTGCTGGCTTTAGCTTCCACAGTAGCTTCCACTCTTTCGGGCACATAATCAAATTTACCTTTTTTATAAGATGATGTGAAGTGTTAGTCTTAACCTTTTGTTGGCATGTTCATCCATTTCTACATTAATAATGATGTTTTCACACACACTAAGCTTCACAAATCTGTAGCTTCTATAGCTTCAGTTTCTTTTTAGTAACATGGTTATGAAGAATGCAGCTACATTACAGACACTATCTGATTACATATACTTTCCTCAGATATTCCTTGGCTATTTTTGGAGCTTTCTATTTCCATGCCTACCTGAGACTCACTTGTCAAATTCACTATTACCTGTGGGACTCTGATTATGCACATATAGACTGTTGGGAGGGCATTTTTATACAATGAATCTCTTCTATGCAACCATAAGGATAGCTTCCCTCTGACAACCATCAATAGATTGATTCTTTTCTCCACAGAAGGATAGCATGTCTTTTATTTGAGTGGCTCTTGTCAGTAAGAGTACAAGAATGCCATCAATCTGTGCACACAAGAACCTATTAGAGTCTATTTGTTCTAATAATTTACATGACTGTCTTGAATAATTTTACTACGACTGATCATGTAATCTCGGGCAGACACACTAGATAAAAGTGAACAAGATACTATATTCATTTTCTCCCAATGCTGAAGGAAATATGTCAAGTATTGTACCATGAGAAGTGTTTGCTGTAAATTTCAGGTCAATTAGTCTTTATCAAGTTGAAGAACTTTGTTCTTATTCATGATTTACTAAGAATATTCCAGGGTTACTAAGAGTTTGGCTGTAGTCAAAGAACTGAATTTTATCAAATCTTTTTTCTCACTCACACCACGGAAACTTAAGAACAGATATCTAATTCTTCTGGAATCCACTGTGGCTGTTTTCAACTTCTATGTCTAACCCTTGTTTCCTTGCAGACTTCCTCTCGAAATAGTAGGAGGACAGTACGACTGTCCCTACTGCTGAGTATATTGGTACATCATGGGAATTTGTTTTAATGTGTCCCATTTGGGAACTGACACATTTCAACCTATAAACTCACATCTTACTGATCCAGAACACTCTTAGTTAAAATCTGCTGGAATAATTCCTGTTTCTTATTCTATTTGAAGACTGGGTGTAGTTTAGTATGCATGCACAAGGCTTTGAGTTTAATCCCTAACAAACCCCATAGAAGTTCCAATAGGCAGATCTCAGTCTTTCTCCTGCTATCTTTTGCTTACCAAGGATCATTATTTTGCATCTCTTCACCTTGCTGTGGTGGCTTCCACCCACTTCACTGCTTCTACAGCTCTGTCTCTACTGTTTATTAGCCCAGGGAGAATCTTTTATTTCAAAAATCTTGTTACAAATTTCTGTTTACTCTTTTCTCTCAAATCCACAACTTCAGGTCTCCTTTTGCTGGCTTTAAACTTTCCTAACGTTTATTTACATCATTTGAAGTATATTCACTGGGAAATCAAATGTTCTACATTAAGCTCCTGGAGTTCTATTTCTGAATGTTCTATTTGACAAATCTCCTTCAAATTTGCTTCTCAAGTATAGTTTAATTTAAAAAATATTATTGTTTTTAAGTGTTTTTGCCTACTTATATGTCTGTCTACCATTTGTGTAACTGATGCCCACAGGGGCCAGAAGAGGGTGTTGGGTTTCTTGGCCCTGGACTTACAGATGGCTGTGAGCCACCTATATGTGGGTCCTAGGAATTGAACTCAGGTGCTCTGAAAGAGCAGTCAGTGCTGTTAATTGCTGAGCCATCTCTCCAGTCCCAAGTTTATCATTTTTGATTGTGACCTTATATCCAGATTGACTGCTTAATACCTTGGGTAGTAAAAGTATTGATGCACACTAGGCTTTAGGGTTGCTAGTCTAAGCAAGCCTATGGTTGTTTAAAACTCTGAATTAGTTAACTTAAAATAATATTTCCATCCTAAAAGATGGTGTCAACACAGACCTCATACTTTCACCAGGCAACACAGGGCACTAGATTTTGTACACCAGGCTTTCTTTCCCACATAAAGTTCCAGAGAGGTGGCAAGATTTCTTATCATTCTCTGGTTACATGAGCAAAACTGCTTCAGGCAAAAGGGCAGCAAACATGTCTATTTTACTCCTTTACTTTACTACTTAGCAGCAAGGGGCACTGCTGAAGATACTCTCTCACACATCCAGACCCACAGATCCTGCTTAAACAGACATTAAAATCTAGCACTAACTTCTTAGCAGCTATAATATCAGCCTCTTCCTATTCTGGTTTAACTTTAATTTCACTTTAATAGCAGACCTATCGATGTAAAATTTCCACCTACACAATCTGTCTGAAGTGTATGATTCAGTTGTTTTCATTATGTTCACTGTTGTGCAACCATCATCTCAACAGCAAACCCACAATGCTCCGTTTCCCAGTACCCCAGGCTGTAGAATGCTGTCAGTGTGTGCTCCTACTCTGCACAGCTCATGCTTTAAGTGTGCTTTACTTTATCTGTGTTCCTACTGAGTCACGTCACCAATGCCCCACATTTAACTCTTCTACTCAGCCGTCGATGAACATCTGCGTTCTTTTCACTTTCACCTTTCCACACTCTCACTGCTTGAGGCTGTTTTGTATTTATTCTCCTGACTGATCCTTCTTTATTTCTTTGATTAGTTCTTATTTCTTGATACACTATTACTTTCTTAAACAAAGAATCTTTCAGGTTGTAGTGATTATTTTCATCTAATATATCAACAGTATTATTTTCCCTAATCTTCTAAACTGCCTACTAGCACCAAGGATTGGTATCTCTGCTCTCAAATCCCACCCAAAACAAACTATGCTGTAAGTAACAAGGATAAATGACTGTACTCTCTGCAGCTTATGACTTTAAAATATGCAGTTGAGGCTTCTTTGCTTCAAAATTTAGAAGTCTGATATTCTGTTTAAAACACAAGAATAATATCTCTTATAACTATGGGCTATGCAAGGAAATTCCGCTGCTGACAGTCTTAGCTCAGTTGGATGCCCCACAGAGAGAGAAAATTCAAGCCACAGCACAAGGCATTTACAAGAAAAGTTGCACAAAGGACAACTGCAAAGTTCCCTAAGCCAAGTAAGTCTCCTTTAATTCCTCTTGTCAAGGAGCAGACAATGAACATAACTAATATCATTAAAAATAAAGTCTAAAATATGAAAATATTAAAGTATATAAAATAATCTAAGATAAACCATGCCTATTGGGAACTGTTATTAATCTTTTCTTATTAATCTTTTATTTTTAGAGAATATATTCTCTTTAAAATTATTTATTTCATATGTATGGATGTTTTTGTCTGTGTACCCCATGTGTGCCTGGTACCCATGGAATCCAGAAGAGAACACTAGATCCCTTGGAACTGGAGTTACAGACAGCTGTGAGCTGTCATGTGGATGCTGGAAACTGAACGCAGATCCTCTGTAAGAACAACAAGTGTTCTTAACCACCGAGCTATCTCTCCAGCCCTTATTAATCTTTTAAAATAATTTCAGACAAACATGATTTTGTAAGAAAATTCTGCAAGCTAATGCAGATTATAATCACTTCCTGATATATGAACTGTTAGTATCCATGAAAAGATGTTAGTTTTATGAAATTTAACTACAGGATCTGTACTATCAAGACAAAAAGTTGTAGAGCAAATATGGGAAGTAGCAACTCTAACGCTCAGGGAACCTAGTTCAGAAGACCCACGATCCCAAGCACACTATTTACTCCTGCGTGACCCAAGTAAGTGACTGAAACAATTTTCTCATTCACAAAATACTTGGGAAATACATTTAATTCGTTCTTATTTTATGTTCTGGCACTACTAATTGAACTCAGGGCATTCTCTACCACTAAACTATCCTTAAAATTGCTTTTATTGCTGAATAAATATAAAATATGTTCTAATAACTGAGAACAAGGCTGAACCAGCTATGTGGCTAACAAAATACGTTTTACAGATTGTGAACAGAGACAGTCAATTTAGCTTATGGTACCATTCTAGTCAAGGATCAGGGACTTGAACTCTGGCAAAAGGGGAACAGGATTACCTGGAAAGACAGGCTTTTGTAATGGCATCATGAAGATTTTCGCTGGGATACTGCGAGAGCCGGCGAGAGATCCGTAACAGCTGACGGGTGGAAAGTGAGGCTGCCAAGGACTGTGCCTATGAAAAGGCAAAGACAGCCTGCTAAGAGTTTCACTTTGACTTGTTAATGCCCCTGTATATAGATGTCACTGCACAATTCACTATTCCTGAGGGACAAGGCCAAATTTAAGTATGTTCAAGGAATGAGTTATGAATAAAAATGAACAGAGTCCATTTTATACTTAAAATAGCTTCCAGGATAGTTTTACTAATCTATAGAAAGCATTTATCAATTAAATTTAACTGAGGTCTCTTAATGGGGAGGGAGTAGAGTAGAGAAGGCTGTTCTAAATGCAGGTTAGACCTGCCTCACAAAACCCTTACGTACAATTTACTATTCTCGCCTTTTGTCTTCACACAGCTGACTTGTTAAGATATTCTGAACTCAGAGTTCTAAGCAAATCTGTGGTTTCTGAAATACAAAAAAGGATTCGTGGGCAGTTTAGGTTGCTGACCACAAGGATGTCAACCAGTTTATCACCTTAGTGGCAGATTGCTACTGGAACCCTTTTCTCAATACCATTGAAATAAGTTCCTTTTTGTTTTTCTACATTTGCCCCAAATTTCAGTAATGGACAAATACATTTGCTAATACAGAGCCAAGGCTCCAGGAAAGTTAGAATATCTGCTGACTTATGCTTTAAATTTTCTTGGCAGGCAGCACAGAAAAGCTTTAATGCTTGTTGGCTTTGAAGTTAGACAAGTTGGGTTCTTACAGCCATGTGATGTTGATTAAGGGCATCATTTCTCCAGTCTGCTCCTGCATCTTTAAGATGACACTAACAACACCTTCCTCTATGAAACTGTTCTGAGGAGAAAATTCTAAAATGACTCTTTAGCACTTAGCACAGGCCAGAAAAGTAGGGCTATTCCCAAAATAACAGACATGATACAGATACTCAACAAATGATAGAGAGGATTGGCGTACCCCACAACTGACAGAGAAAATTAGATTACCACACAAATAACAATGGGGGTACACCACAAATGACAGAGATGATGGGGGTACCCAACTGAGTGATTATGGGGTACCCCTCAAGTGACTGAGATGGTAGGGGTGCTCAACAAATGACAGATATAATTGGGGACTCTACAAATAAGAGATGATGGGGGTACCCTACAAATGACAGAGAGGATAGGAATGCCCAAAAAGTAACAGATGAACCAGATGGCCTCCTTACAATGAAAGCAGCCACACACTCACAAAGACCCACACAATTGTAATGAATCAAATTCTTACTGACCTAGTTCACAACTCAGATCAGCAGCATAGTGAAGGCTAAGGCCTAAACCATGAAGCCCTTCTGAAGCTATGCGACCTCTGGGAGGTCAGTAAGGCCGAGTGAACTGTTACAAAGAGGAATGAGGGTAGTGACCATGAGGGTAGTGAGGCAAAGTGACCATGAGCACTTTTGTGGCAAGAGGCAGCAGAGGAAATAACAACAGGTTCAAAGAGGACAAGGGAACACGTCTAAGATGTGTTTGGGTGAGGGGACCTCTGTGAAATCCCTACCAGGACCATCAAAATCCCATACTCAAGCATCGCATATCTCCATGAGGTGTGGCTCTGCTGCCACTAGTGCTATGCTTAAGCTATAATATGAGGTACACAGCCTTTCAGGACCAGATCAGGAATATGACCAACAGCTACAGCTTCAACTTTTTCCCCTGTTAAACAAGTTTCAAAGAACTCATTTTACATGGTGAATCCGTATTCTCAATAAATGTGCATTCTTGACATAGAGAATGTTTAAATATAAAGAACCATAAATTTTAATTAAAAGTGACGTGTAATTTAATGCTAAAATATGTCCAAAAAAAGCAAAACACTGACAAATGTGGCTTAAAGTGGTCACATGAGCAGGAGAAGTGGACAAGGGCATGAAAGCCAAAGGAATATAGACCCATGGTAAGCACGAGCTGCCAGCCTGATTCTAGAAGGCCCGCTCTGCAACCACCTTGGACCACCAATGACTCCATGAATGACTCTGGCTTCAAAGTTGTGGTATGTTCTTACAAGCAGAGCTTCACCATCCTGAGGTCTAACTTGATTGCCAATAATGGAGAGAAAAGAACAGAGACAAATGAGACCAGAGCAGATGCTGTTTCATTAGTCCTTCCTTAAAAAGACAAAGTCCTACAGAAAGGTAATGACACCAAGATGGAAGAAAAGGTGGCAGCAAATGACCCAAATACCTGCTAAGTGGCATACACGGAAGAAGGCAGAGCTGTGGATAAGTACTTACTCCTGTGCTAGAAAACAGAGAATTCAGGAATTCCCAGCCTTAATATCTTAGACTATGAAAAGTTCCTATTTTAACCACACAAGGTCTGAGAAATGCACTACAACATGATTCTTCCAACAGTTTAATAATAAACTAATATAACTTCCTAGAGTCCACATCCCAGCCTTGTATGGTAATACTACATGGGTTTTGTATCTCATCCCAGCAGACCCTGAAGGTTTCGTTCAGGTTTGAAGAAGAACAATTCCTTCACTGGACAGCACCAAATTCTTTATTATAGCATCTAAGTTTTTATGTGAACCATTTTTGTGTTGAATAAAAGAACTTATTAACTCCTGCTTTCAGACTGCCAATTAGACATTCAGAATACACTTTAATTTTGAAAGTCCTAGTGTATCTAGCACTGTAATATCAAATTTCTAACAGCAATTTTATCTTGCAGAAAGGAAGGTGAAAATGTGAAGTACATTCCTTGGTTACCATGGTTATGCAAGTAAAAGCACACCAACGGGTTTTTCATATTAGCACAATTATTAGTACCCTCGACTGTTTAAAATATGAAAGATCTCATGAGACATGAACAAAAATAATGTTTCTTTTCTTCCTCTTAAAGAATTACTTCATATGAATATATATGCCCTCCCAGGAGAAAAGCCTTGAGATATCTCTTAGTACATTGTTAATTAATTAATTTTCCATTCATTTCTCAAGGATTTAAGTATCTATTATCTGTCAGGTTCCAGTTAGAAAGTCAGAGTAGAAAATTGAACAAGTTCCAGACTTAGAGAGTTCAAGTACTAATTGGAGAGCTAAAAGTAAGCTGCAAGCAACTGTGATAGGTCAGTATCTTGAGCATTTCTAGTCTCACGAAAGCAGACTGGGAGGTACTTGTTTACCTTGTTTAGAGGACCGAGATAGTGACCTAGCAGAATAGGGCCCAGAGGAACAAGCTGATAGAGAGAACGCACTTCTTAGGCATTTCTAAAGAAGAGGCATTTTAGAGTGTGCTAAAGTTAAAATAGCACCAAGCTAAGTGTGCACAGAGCTGAGGGGCTTCAGCAGAGGCTGAAGAAATGAGGTTGGCAAAGCAGTGGAGTCACAGAACCAGCAGCACAGTAAGCATGTCCTCAGTCTACAGACAAAGGCAATGGATCCCTCAGACAGAGTGAATAACAGGAAGTCTGGAAATTCACTGAGAAAGATCACTCCATGGACAATATGGAAGGCTCATTTATTCATTGTTCTAGCAGATATCTGCTAAATACCTACTATATTGCAAGCAAAGATCCTGATTCTACAGATCCACAGAGAATGAAACAAATGAAAACCCAAGGGACAGACAGACAATCGAATGTACCTAAAGCATGTCTATCATGCCTAAGATCAGAAGCCCTATGAGAGTCTTGAAGCAAGAGGAGAAGACACAAAAGAAATGGCAAGGAAAATGCCTCTGAATCACACTGACTTGGAAAAGAATGATTGGAAATGTGACATCTTAGCAAATCTAATGGGGGCGAGGGAACAGTCCTAAAGCCACTGAGGAGAGGAACACACAGGTAGATGCTCCAAGCCCAGCACTAGTTGGAATGTCCAAGAACAGGAAGACTGCCTGCTAGCTCCATTTCATACACCAGAAGGAACTCTGAACACTGTGTGGGAAGAAGAGCCATCAACAGTCCCTCCTGGCTGTGACCCCTGAAAGCTTTAATGTACATCCTGGTAAGACATGCCCAATGATGCAGCAGTGGCATGACTATTATGGGATAGCCAGCTGTGTTGTAACTGGACTTAAGTCCTGTTCCACAGGGGAACTCAGACCTGGTATTGTAGTGAGGGCCAGAACGCAGGCTGTGAAGGTCACAGTCTCTCTACTACTGTTTTGTTAGAAGGACATAGTGTCAACCTGGCTTCTAAATATGTATTCTTATATCCGTAGACTAGTGGAAACCTCGCCCTAATCACAGAAGTTTCTTCATGCTGAGGATGGGGATTAATATAGAAACTCACAACTGTTCAAAGTGTGGAGAATCAAACTGGTAACTGCAGTGCTCAGCCCTAAATGATGCACCTAATCTCTCTCTGTCTGTCTCCCTGTCTGTCTCCCTGTCTCTGTCTCTCTGTCTCTCTCTATCTCCCTGTCTCTGTCTGTCTCTGTCTCTGTCTCTCTCTCTCTCTCTCTCTCTCTCTCTCTCTCTCTCTCTCTCTCT